TTCTTTTCTTTTCTTTTCTTTTCTTTTCTTTTCTTTTCTTTTCTTTTTTCTTTTCTTTTCTTTTCTTTTCTTTTCCCCCTCCCCCTTACTGGTGAGAGAAACACCAAGAAGGAGTCCTGTCCTGCCAACATAGACAGGGACAAGCTGGTGTTTCAGGCCCTCCCCACGGCAAGGAAAGGATCCACAGTCAGCATTTGATGACGTGTCTGGTTCAGCTGCTGGCGCTGCTGGATCCAAAGATGAGCAATTAAGAGAGTTAAAAACTAGCTCCTTTCACGGAAAATGCAAGAAAACAGAAATATTTACAAAGTATCTTCTGCCCTATTACACTCCAGCAAGTTTAACAGAGCCAAAACTGACAACTCAGCTCGGCTCAGCCATCCATCACTGCTCCACTAGTGAGACTGGAGAGAGAATTGCAAGAGTAAAAGTGAGAAAAACCATGGGTTGAGATAAAGACAGTTTAGTAGGGACTCTAAATCATAGTTTCTTTCAACACTTAGAGCTTTGCTTATCTTAAAAGAAAAAAAGCGTTTGGGGAAAATAGCATTTTAAATGTATTGTTCAAAGAAAAGATTTCTTAATATGCCAAGAATAAATGGGGATTTTGTTCTGTGTAAGTTCTTTTCAGATTGTTGTAAAGGTATTAGACTTTTCACAATTGTAATAAGGAAAAAAATTAGTAGAAGTTGCATTAAGTACAAAGCTCTGACACTGAAAAAGGCATTGGAAGGAGCTTTATGAGTCAGGGCTATTCAGACAGAATTCCCTGTATTTTATTCGAAGATCCATGTGACCAAATATGGTCTTTGTGGGCTTGACTGGGGAGGGGGTAGAAAAAGGAAGGATGAGGAATGGATTGGATAACCTCACTCTAATCACTATTTTTTCTTGAGAGGAGAAAATATAATCTAATTATTCAAAAATGGAATATTATAATCTTTCAATAATATCTTTATAGCAGGCACTACTATTTTAATAAATATATTTGAGAACTGGGTCTGGGTTTGTCTGAGTTTTCCTTTTTCACTTACCTACATATAGTTGCCAGCTGCACTGGAAGAGTCTTTATCGAAGTCTACACTGTAAGGAAATTATTCAAAGAACAGACCTACAGCTTTTGTGCAAAGATCACCATGTTTTTAATAAACCAGAAATTCACTAACTAAGTTATGGCAAGGCCTGGTAAAAAATGACAGACTGTTAATATTCTTGATTTCATTAGTTCTGAAGTGAGCAAAGAGTAATTAAAACTATTACCTACATTGGGATTAGATGATTTAAAGATTTTTTTTTTTTTAAAAGGTAAGAATTTTGTCCTTGAAGTTTACTCATGAAAGAGTGGTATTGAGCTCTAGGGCATTCACAACAACTTTTATAATTCTGAAATAAACCGGAGACTATGTCCTTCTTGCTACTTTTTCAGACCTTAAAACATGTTTCTCATAGTGAAATATAAAATTTGTCAAATAGAGTATGAGTAATAGTTCTGAATTGTGAGGGGCATTGCTTTTTCTCTGATAAACCTTGGGTAATGGTAGTTTAATGAAAATGTTACCAAGAATATGCCTCCATCTTTATTTTTAATAACTACCTATAAATCAATTAAGAGGATAAAAAAGATTTGGGTGTTCCTTGAAATAATAAATTGTTCCAACATCTTGCATTTGTGTGGCCTTACTTTACAAATCGCTTAAAAGAGGAGTACTTCATAAAATATCACAGACATTAAACCTAAAGAGTAACCATTAGAGGGCAATCTTTTCTGACCTGAGGAACTCAGCTTGCTCTTCTAGTGTATTGTGAGATTTTGACTAACAGCTCATAAAAACAACACCGATGAAGAGGTATCATGGTTAATGATCCATAGCCATATTCTTGAGGTGCTTAGCGTCTTTGGTGAACTGAAGACTAATTTTTATATCAATATAAAAATAAAGATATAAATACAAATATAATATGAGTATGACTATAAATATGAAATATAAATAAGAAATATAAATATGACTTTTCCTTACAAAGTTTGAACTGAAGCGGGATGAGGCTCTTTGCTTGCCATAAACTACACTTTATGGTACAGTACTTTAGCCCAGAGTGGCTATTGTGAGTGGCAAATGAGCTCTTTCCTACACAGAGATGGTGTGTTACACTGTGTGCATCACATCAAGATTGAAAATTGTTGTAGAAAAGCTTGCTAATTATTGTGACACAGTGACTTACCTTTCTTAACCATAGGCATAAATTCTAGTCACTAATCCCTGTGACTAAAAGAGTGCAAGAAAATGTGCAATGCTTTACCAGTAACTAATTTTTAAACTTCAAAGGCTGCAATGCAAAGCAGAATTGTTAAATATTATGCATATTGCAAAATGCTGAAGGGGTTTGAAAGGGGTTTGAAAATGAAATATTCTTAAATTGTTGTTGCTTAAAAAGCATGCACGTTACGGTTAATAGAGCCCAGATGCTGACTGGTTTTGAAAAGCTGAGCAAGCTAAAACAAAATAGTGTTTTGGTGTACGTCAGCCTGAAACGTGAGCTCTTTTAAAATGATGTTTTTGCTGTTACAACATAGCATTAAAACACTTTATAAATTTTAGAACAGTAACTTTCTCAAATGACATTTTTATAACACGGCTTTGAAATGTAGCTATGGCTAAATATTCATAAGGAAAGTTTTGGACTTGCCCTGTGGTCTGGTGGGCAGTGCCAAATTAAAATCACAATCCTGCCTGGTTCATGCTGAAAACTATGACCACTGAACAAGTGTATCCTCAAGCAGTCCTGTTTTCAACTCCCTGGGAGATGGTAGAGGAGAAAAGAGGTAGTAGGTAGACAGCCTGACCTTGAATGAACCATCAGCAGGAGTCCAAACACTTCTCCAAAGGCATAAAGAAAATGTCCAAGCCTTCCAGGTCATCGAATTTCATATTTCCCTGTGGGGCTATCACTGGATTTCTGCTGGACTAGCTTGCCTTTATGGGCTGATGAAATCGAGCATCTTCTTGTCTGTGAACTTTCTGTTGTAAGGTGATTTTTTTTTAGCCACAAAGAAATGCAGTTCTCATCCTGGGCACCAGGCAACCTCTTCTGGTAGAAGATATGGGAAAGAAAGAATGAGTATTAAGGGGAGGGGATGGGGGGAGAATAAAATAGTACTGAAATGTAAGGACAAAAGGCAACTCTGTATGCAATAAAAAAGAGAGATTGGATAGGATATTTGATGAGAAAATTACCCCAGAATCAGTGGAAGTGCTAGATTTGCTGTGGTTTGACTGACTGTGGGGAGCCCTTCTGACAGTAACTGCAAAAGCAAGTAAGGTCTTGTGGCCTGGAGAAAATTGCTGAACTAGAAACATGATTATCAGTCTAAGGAAATTTGCTTGTAAGCCACCTTTATCCTGGGAAAAAAGGTGCAGTTCATATAGTATGGGAGGAAAAGCAAGGGGAAAAGTATGTCTGCTTGACACTGAACTTCAAAAAGGAAAAGACGATTGTCAAAGGAGGTGATTCTGCTCCTCTGTCCACTTTCATGAGACTGCACCTGGAGTCCTGCATCCTGCTCTGGGGCCCTAACATAGGAATGATGTGGACTTGCTGCAGAGAGTCCAGAAGTGAGCCACAAAGATGATATGAGGGCTGGAGCACCTCTGCTATGAACACAGGCTGAGAGGTTTGGGGTCGTGCAGCCTGGAGAAGAGAAGGCTCCAGGAAGACCTCAGAAAAGATTTCCAGTGCCTAAAGGGGGCTTACACCAAAGAGGGGCTTCTTACAAGGGCATGTAGTGATAGGACAAGGGGTAATGGCTTCCAACTGAAAGAGGGCAGATATAGGTTAGATATTAGGAAGAAATTCTTTACTATAAGGGTGGTGAGGCACTGGAAAAGGTTGCTCAAAGAAGTTGCGGATGCCCCATTACAAACAGTGTTCAAGGCCAGGTTGGATGGGGCTGAGCAATCTGATCTAGTGGAAAGTGTCCCTGTCCATGGCAGAGGGGTTGGAACTGGATGATCTTTAAGTTCCCTTCCAACCCAAACTGTTTTATGATTCTATGGTCTGGTTCTCTATTCATTGAAGAAGGAACACCATGGTAAACACATTCACTCTTGGAATAGGAGAAACTGCATCAGGCATATCTATCACATTTAGTAAAACTGAGCTTGTTTTGGGGAAAAGTTTGATGAAACATTTTTCTTTATAAATATAAACTGTATGACAACAGGGCAAGATGATGTGACAAGTCAGGGTGTCCTATTTCATCTGTGAAATGGTTGTAACAGGCATCACTGGTGAAATCATTGCAGCATTACATCCCATTTCGCAAGTTCCTGTGCTGCTTCCTGCTGGGGGCAAGAGGGGACTTGAGCTCAAGTTTCAGTGTGAAACCTCTGCCCTTTTGAATTCAGTGAGAACTTTACCATTGCCTTCAGAGGGACCAGGATTTCACCACACTGTGTGCAAGATAACCTGTGGCTTTGCCTGCATGACACAGAGAGAGAACAAGAGGAAGTGGGATGGGAAACCCACCTCTGCCCCAGCAGTTGAGAGGAAGAACAATCACTGCAGGAAATTCTTCAAGGATAAATGCTGCTCCGGTTTCCAGTGGGCAAGTCCTCAGAGAGAATAGGAGAGCTCACATTACTTCAGATCCTCTTGAAGGGACCTCCAGGTCACATTTACAACAAGTGAGCAACAAGTACTATGACCAGGACTAAAGGGGCCCTGTCTCCAGCCAGGTAAAGGGACAACTGGATCTATTGGACTGTGTGGATCCCATGGCACATCAGACCCACAAAAGTATAAGGCTTTAGTTGACACCAGAGCACAATGTACCCTTATGCCATTGAGATATGCAGGGGCAGAACCCACCTCTTTTTCTGGGATAACGGGGATCCCAACAGCTGATTCTACTGGAAGCTGAAGTGAGCCTGACCAGGAACCAATGCCAAAGACATCCCATTGTGAGTGGCCCAGAGGCCCCATGCATCCTTGGCATAGATTACCTAAGGAGAGGGTATTTCAAAGACCCAAAAGGGCATTGTTGGGCTGTTGGGATATCTGCTTGGAGATAGGAAATTGGACAGCTGGATACCTTGCCTGGTCTCTCAGAGGACCCTTCTGCTGTGGGACTGCTGAGAGTCGTTGAGCAACAGGTACGGATCGCTACCACAGCAGAGCATCGTCAGCAATCCTGCACCAACCGGGACTCTGTGACCCCCATCCATGAGATTCATGACCTGGACGGCCAGGTCACGGGGCTTGGAGCAACCTGATCTAGTGGAAGGCATGCCTGCCCATGGCAGAGTGGTTGGAACAAGATGATCTTTAAGGTCCCTTCCAAGCAAACCCATTCTGCGATATTTTATGATATTTGGGCTAGAATAGAGAAAGGAGGATTGTGTCTAGGCAGGCTTTGGGGAAAGGGGCTAGGCTGAGGGAGATGAAGCCTGTTATAGGTTTGAAAACAGATGGAATTTTTTCGCAATATCAGTTACTGGACAGTGTGCACCTAAATGAAAGCCCCCCCCCCCCCCTTTTCCCCCCTCATCTGTTTTTTCTGGGGTGGGGGGAGGCAGGAAGGGGGAAGGAGTGGGGTCTCGAGCAGAGCGGCATGGGAGTGGGAGAGGCTTCTTTTTAAAACCAGCCATCACCACCCTTTTGTGTGTAGGACTCGCTGTCCACCGACCGACCGACAGAGCGGCAGCCACCTTCAGTTTTGGCCGTCTCCCACTTTTCCCTGAGGAGAATTTTTTTTTCTTCCCCGCCTGGCACCGTTGTGGAAGAACGATTGGGAGAGCCCCCCAACTGTCTCGGAGTGAGGTGTTCTGCCCCAGGCTGTGGGGCTGCATTATCAGAGCATCTTCCCGCAGCGGCTGCCTGACCCGAGGACCACACCACAGCCCTGGGACCGGCGGGAAAAAAGCCCTTTCGTTGTTGGCTCACGGGGCTGTGAGTTGTTGAGCCACTGGGGACAGCCCGCCCTCGGCCCCCCCTGATTTGCCACGGGGACTCCCTCACCTGGGGAATTAGGACTTTGTTTTTTTGAAAGTTTTGGTTGCACCATTGTTGTTTGTTCGGGTTTGTTAATAAAGAGCGGTTATTTTCCTTTTTCACACCTTTCACCTGAAGCCTCTTAACTTCAAAGTTGCAAGAACGTAGAGGGAGGAGGTTGGCTCTTCTTTTCTGGCCCTCTCTCCTTAACGGATATTTGCGCCTTGCTAAACTAAGACAAGCCAATAATCATTAACTGGCTTAGATTCAATCCAAGCAGGAAAGAGTTCAAATTATTGAAAAATGGCAAAATGCACCAGTGTGAGGGGTGACAGCATACAGTGCTCAAAAGCTAACAATAAAACCAGTCAGCCTGGACAGCAGGGAAGACGTCTTTAAGAGTCAGAGCAACCAGACAGGGGATCAGGCTCCCAAGAGACAGTCAAGACACCAGAGTGTTTCCAGCAGAAACAGATAAGATAGGAGAGGGAATGGCATGTAGAGAAATGTGTTTTGTGATGCAGAGTTCAGGCTTGAGGTTTTCCTCAGCTGTGCACTGTGCCATTAAGAAACAAAGAATTCATTACAGGTCTGCCATACTTCTCAAGAGCTTAATGACAGATTGTGCAACATTATGAGTATGGAAGAAGTACAGGGAAACAGCATAAGAAAAAAAAAATCAAACCAAACCACCAAAAACCTCTTTTCTTCTCTGATTCCAATTAACAGTGAAAATAAATTAAAAAGTGTGCTCCTTTTGCCCACTCCTGCAAAATCAACAAGGGTTGGACACAGGTTATCTACTGTCTAGGGCACATTTCTGTATGGAAAGCCCTTCCCCTCTACTATCCATGTGGATCTTGCTTGAGTTTGCTAATCCTCCCAGCTGACAGCATAGTAACAGAGGAGGCACTTTCATCCAGCAGTCAAGGACAACATTTTGTAATGTCGACCTAGCTTTGGGCAGGTCTTGCTGTTGAGTTGCATTTGAAATATATTTCTCTTTATAAAAAATTATGAGGTTTTGTTTGTTTTTGTTTTTACATAGTAAAAGTTGAGAGTCTGATATCACATGACACCAGGAACCCGTTCTTAGAATTAGTCTACAATGCTCAGGCCTTTAAGCTGGCCCAGATGTTATCTCCTATTGTAATAACAAGAAAAGGTATGAATATATGTGCTGAACCGATATGAAATTAAAACTTAAATGTTTCTATAAATTCCTAATAATCCAGAAAATAATACCAACTTTGGAATGTAAATATTTCAGATGTTGCTGTAAGTTCTTCTGCTTCATATCATTATTCTACTCACCAGCTGTCACACTCTGTGAGGGAGGGAGACTGTGAAGTAGACATTTAAACTTAATGTTCCTTGTTGAAATAATGAAATAGATTTTCTAATCTAGAGGAAAGCAAGCTGCGTTTTGTATTATCTATTAGGAACAAACAAAGAAGATAAGGAGGGAAGTTTTTTTGAAATTGAGAGTGTATTACCAAATCTGAACTTTTTAGCTTCTTCAGAAAGAGAAGGGTATATTTACTTGAATGCAAGAGGGAAAAAGACTTAAGTTATGTTTAAACGCAGCATAAACATTAACTACTCATATTCTTTGTAACTACTGCTCTAAGCAGCACAAACCCATCTTACCACATTTAGTTTAACAAGGAGGCGATAACCCAAAGCACCCACGAAAGTGCTGCGAAATAAATCACGCACCATTACATCAGCCAAGCAGCCAATTCCTGCTGATAAGGGACGCCTGCTGCCTCTGCTTCGGGAAAGGCCAAGATCACTGCTCTTCGGTCTACACGCGGGGTACTAGTCATAACTTCATTTTTCCACACTGCTTTCCCCCCCTCTCCCAGCCGCTCCGGCCCCTTCCCGGCCCAGCGTTCGTTGTGCCGCCGCTCCAGCGCCGCCGCAGCTCTAGGGCATAAAGTAGTCCCGGCCTCACGCGCTAGTGTTACTCGGTTTCACGCGCCAGTGTTCCTCCGCCTCGCAGACGGCGGAGGGAGCGAGGGGAAGCAAAGTAGACCCGCTGGAATGCGACGGCAGCGCCTCGCCCTGCTCCTGTCCGCGTCCGTGTCCCTGTGCTCTGGGGGTGCCGCAGCCCCAATCACCCTCCCTTCCGGGCGGAGACCCGTCGGGCTGCGGTCCCCGCCGCGCTTTTCTCGGCTGCGGAGCTGCCGGACGTGTGCGTGATCCCGCCCGTGTGAGAGAGGCTCCGCGCCCTTGCCTCTCTGCGCCGTCCCTGGCCGACGGGGAGCGGTGCCAGGGGGCGGGCGCTGCGCCGGGCGCCGGCCGGGCACGGCGCGGGAGGAGGAGGAGAAGAAGAGGAAGGAGGAGGAGAAGAAGAAGAAGGAGGAGGAGAAGAAGAAGAAGAAGAAGAAGGAGGAGGAGGAGGAGGAGGACGACGACGACGACTGTATCCCTGCGCCTGTGCGCGCCTGGCGGAGGGTGAATGGGGGAAGGAGCGCGGAGCTGGCGCTGAGACGCGGCCGGCATGGAGGGCAGCGCCCGCTCTCGCGGCGGCGCGCCGGGGCGAGGGGCCTGCTAGGGACGGGCGAGGGGGAATCTCTGCGGCCGCCCTTCCCCGCCTCCCGCCCCCCTTTTCCCGCCGCCTCCCCCGCCCGCCTGGAAGCATGAACTGGCAGCGGAGGTGCTGCTCCTCGCCGCCGCCTCCCCGCCGGTGAGAGCGAGGAGGGAGGGAAGATGGGGCCCGTCCTGCGCAGCCTACTCGCCTGCAGTTTTTGTTCCTTGATGAGAGGTGAGCGGGGCGGGCGGCGGCGGGAGGGGCAGGGGGAAAGTTGCCGGGCTGGTGGCGAGGGGCCATGTTTGGGCGTGCGGGAGGGGAGCGGCGAGGCCTGGCTGCTGGCGGGGCGCGGGGCCCGGCGCGGGGATAGCGCTCTCTCCCTCCCTCCCGGCCACCGCCTCCTCCCCGCTTCGGGAGCAACTTATACCCAGCCGAGCCGGTAGCTGCCCGCCTTACAAGCGGCCGCCGGGCACCTCCCGAGCCGCTATATTGTTGTTTTCAAGTTTCTTTTCTTTTCTTTTTTTTTTTTTGTTTCTTTTTTTAAAAAGAGCCACCCAAACTAGCGCACGTCCCCCATCTCTCCGCACCCCCCAGCGGTCTGTGGGCTCCAGCGGCTCTGGGGCATAGCTCGGCCACGCCTGTGTCAGGCTGGTACCACTGTTCCCATTACCAGGCTTCTCTCGTTTTCCCCCCAGTATCGATCCTACCGGGTGCGGGTGTAGCGCAGAGCCTCGCCTGTTCGACGTGGGGAGGCTGGAAAGTGCCCGGGAATTGGTGCTTCACCAATACTCTCCTCGCAGCGAAGTGAGCGAGAGGAGGAATGAATGCTCCTCTCAGCTGGGCTGGCTCTGCGCTGGGACTTCAGAGAAGTTTGTGTTTCACGGATGAACCACCACGGATCTTCATACACCTTTAAATCAGCAGTCGAGTGCCTTACTAGGGGATGTCATTTAAAGTAGCCGAGAATTTTGATTCTACTTCCCAGCTCCAACAAAATTTCTCACCTTGCAGGGCACAGTCTGAAAGAAAGCAGGATTATTATATTTTTTTTTAATGCTGTAAATCTAACTATCTATTTCTCTGGGTTCAGTATTTCTGGGAAGAAATGGTCTGTGGTGTTTGCGTACATCATTTTGCTGTTTATTTTTTTCATACTAGATGGGGAAGAGGTTAATTGCTAACAGTTTATCAGCGACACTTTCATTTAGAAAATTCATCCGTGCTAGAGTGTTTTGATTAAGATTAGACTAACTCAGGTTAGGTGGTGTAGGTTGAAGTAACTACTCTGTCTCCAGTTGCTCAGTATTCTGAGAAACAAAGATTTTCGTCTCTTCCATGGCCTTTTTTTCCACTCTGTGCATCTGTTTGCCATATTGTATCCTGTTTGCAGAGATACAAATACACTTATTTAAGTGGTACGTGTAACATTTCATACTTCTGTTGTAGCAGTTAAACCCCAATTTTCAAAAGTTAAGTTGAGTCTGGAGTATAGGGAGAAATGGTTTCCTGATTAGTTTAAGTAACAATCATGCCTGTTGTTAATATACCGTGTTTGTCTCAAATGTTCAACTTAGTTCAAATGACAGCACAGAAATAGCTGTTGTATGTGATGTCACATAATATTGTTCCTTTAATTTCTTCAAATCTTAACACAGTGACGTGTGCTCTTGCAAATTTTTGTATACTTGATGCTTAATAGGACACTTTGAAGAAGCATTCAGTTTATAAATCATATGACTGTCATTTATTTTCTTGTCTCTTATCTCTATTGCCAAGGACATTTGTATCCAAACAGCATTTTTGTTTCTTCTGGGTTTGTGGTTCCCTGCTGTCTGATCACCTACCTGAAGTCATAATCTTCTGTTTGTGACACGATAGTAATTTTCCTACTGGCTAATTGTTACTTTAGATTGAGATAAACAGCAGGAACAGCTGAACTGTGAAGAAACAAAAATCAAATTTTAATGCATACATCCTCCCTAATAAACAGCATATATGCAAGTAGAATTGGTTCAAATGAGATGTGTTGAGTTCAGAAGAGGTGTCAGCAGTTCCTTAATGAGGCAGAGGCAATACCAGCATGAGTATGAATAAGCTTGTACATGAAAGTAGAGGTGAAGTTATGAAGTCCACTGTTTGGTTTGTGAATTCAGTGCTGTGGAGGATGCCAAGCCAACAGTGCTGGAGACAGAAACTCAGAAAATGTAATAGTGTGTGTTTGTGGATTACAGCATCTTCTCTGCTTCCAGAACTAGCCTCCCTGTTCTTGTAAAAAAAGCAAATGGATGGACGTTTACACAACTGAACTGTGGTCAGTGCTCTGAGGGAACTATGGTAGGTTTGTTTCGCTATCTGGTAAGGAGTAAAATTGGTACCCTGGAAATACATAAGGACTTGAAGAAGTACAAGACCGTTACTGGCTAGAAACTCATGCACAGGGCAAGGCACCTCTCTGTCAAATCATCCGAGGACTGTGATAAACCAGATCCTGCTGATGTTTTCAGGGCTAGTGTTTGGATTCTAAGAGACATGTCCTGACAGCTTGCTGTGGAGGTTCTGTGGTTTGGGGTTGGTTTGTTTTGGTTTTTTTTCAGTATTATGGCTGATGGAAGAAAGAGGTCACTGGTCTCTGTTCCCCCCTCTTGGCCCCTGGTTTGATTTGGGGGATAGGGCTTCCACCTCCCTGACCATCAACAGTGCTTGAAGCTGCTCCCTGAGGTACTTTGAGGAGCTGTTTGGTGGCAGCTTGGAGGTGTTCTTCAGGACAACTGTGAAACCAGTCAGCTCGGTAATTGTTAGATAACTGACAGCTGCAAAGAGGCAAAAGCAGAGGCATCGCATCTGTCAGGGTGCTACAAGTAACTGTGAAACTGAGGTTTTGACTTTTTAAGTAGTCATAGAGAATTATTCCTCCACCAGTATTCATGGCTTGCTTTTCTTCCTGAAATAGCTCTCCAGTCAGCATGCAATTGTGGTTTTGTTTTGGTTTTAAACCCTGATCATGCAGACAGTGCATAAAACTCTCGTTTGAATAGGAATCTTATAAATTATGTTTGTGCAGATCTACTGAATATTGCAGACCTCTATGCTTAAGGTCAGTTAGTGAAGAAATGAAAATACCTCTTTGGTAATGGGCATTTTAAAACTACGCTTCCCTCTTAGCATTCCGAAGAGGGTTTGTATTAATCCATTATTATCGTTTTAATATTGTTATTATTTTAATTGGTTTTAATCTGTTGTTTCTTGGTTTTCATAAACAGATGGTTGCTTTTTTGCATTTTTTTTAGGTAGATTCATTTACATGTTTTTAGAAGAGCTTAATGTTCAGGACTTGCTAAGCTATACTGGTGTTGCGTGCATGTATTTTTCTACCAGAAGTCAGAGAAAGGAACAAGGAGTAGGTTTTTACTTCTGAAGTACTCAGGTTAGAGATGAAGTGTCGTGTTTCCAGTGTGGTTTGTGCCTTCAGGTGAAGGGTCTCTTCACCTTGGACTGTACAATACTGAAGTGGTCTATTTCTTCACCCCAGCTTGAATTAGCCATTTTCTAGTCATGTTTCTTCATTATATGATGCCTCAGAAATTAGTGTGCCTTTGTCTGCCTTGATTTCCAATGCATTTTCCTCTTTTATCTCTTCATGAAACAGTCTGAGATTTATGTGATCTAATGTGTTACAAAATCCACCATTACTTTAATAGTTCTTGCATTTGCATCTGTGATATAGTTCACTTATCATCAGATTGCTGTAGCTTGTATTTAAAACTGAAAAATTAGGACTTAGGCAATTTGATGGCATTTTTTTACTATGTCTTGGAGGTAGGGTGAAGTAGCATTTTTGGCAAGGTGCACTGAAGATATAGGGAAGTTCTGGGTATAGGGTGAAACTGTATCTGGTCAGAGGTGTATGCAGGTGAAGGATCCCTCAGTATGAGTTATATGAAGATAATCAGGTGGAAAGCTTTGTTCTTGTTTGACAGCAGTAATGGTTAGGGTGGCATGAACTGTATTCATATTTCCTTTCCCTAGTGACTTGATACAATCAGCATTTCCTGAGTTCTAGGTAAGGAATTTGGCTAGAAGCTGCAGAACGTGTAGAAAGGGTTTTTGTTTTGTTTTTGCTTTTTTTTTTTGTTTTCAGGAAGATAGGTGAGGATAGGGCATACAAGAACCTTTTAAATTCTGTCTTTGGAAGCTGGAGAAATCTGATTCTTTTGGACATCTGTAATCCACCTTTATAATGATATCGCATCTCAAAAATGCCAGCATTAAAAATATTTGCTGCAGTGCAAGTGATATGGAATTTACTTTAGTTCAAATTGAGTAGAGCAAAGATATTTTTTCTTCCTTCTGAGGGGGTGGACTAGGAGAAGAAAACAGGGAGAAACAGGTCTCAGTTTCTGATCTATCACCATTCATCTCCTCTGGCAGCCAGCATGCAGACTTAAATACTATATTCTTTGTCCCCAGCATATTTAACCTCATTAATTTTCTATGAAATGTTAAATACTTGGGTTACTTTGCCGGTGGTTTCTTCAAAAGAGTCCAATTTCTTCAAAAGAGTCCAGTTCCTTGTACTCTAGGGAGGGGTATGTGTTATTGTTGAGTGGCACCAGAAACGTAGTTGTAATTAAACCTTTTTTGCATGCTCCTGCTTCTGGCTGAGCTGGTGGCATGCTCAGCTCCTCTTCCAATTCTCCTGCTGGGGAGCCCTCACATTTCAACCAAGTCACTTGAGAGATTCGGGTGGTAAACTGCCCCCCACTTCTTTGGTGGCACATGGGGG